TCGTCCTCGGGTCCTTTCCCTACCTTCCCTCTCTCTCTCTCTCTCTCTCTCTCTCATGGGGTCCTTGAAGACCCTCCCATGCTTAGGGATGTTGAAATGTTAGCACGACACCGCTGCCAAGCCTCTGCACGAATGCCGCCGCAAATGATGGGACGAGCACTTTCAGTGATGTAAGCCTTGCTTCACTGCAAGAAAGCCTCAACGCTACCTTCAGCAGTACTTTCGGCCGTCTAATCTAATGTAAACGATTTACACTGGACAGCTCTGCTCATGGTGACCTACTGAGGCACCAACTGTACATTGCCAACCGGCGCGCACTTTCGACACCGGATCACCTAGAGGCACCTCGACCTTGGGCAGCATCTTATCAATCGCTCAGCTGCGCACGCCTACTCCAGAAGGTGTTTCTGATAACTATGCGCGACATAAACACAATACCCAACATGTGAGCCAATGTCTACACTCCTAGTATCCCCCTTAATAACCCCTATCATAGTCTAATCCCCTATATAACCCCCATTAAGGAGTTTAGACTATAGCTCATTTAGGAATCTGTTGACAAAGCTATGTGTAATTCCTACAGGTCCACTCCCTGAACGATGAGAAGGAAACTAAAAGAACGGAGGAATGCTCCACACAGCAGTCCTATATAATACCCCAGTACGATTCCCGCACTCCCATTCCCTTTACTCCATGCAAACCACGACTAAACTAACATCCCTGCTTTGCTCGATCCTAGGTCAAGCATTTGAAGTCAACCCAGCTCCGGTTCGGGCCTGGGGTTTGTGTGCTTTGTTTTTTGCTGAGAAAAGCGAGAAGTGTACCATTGCGGTAGACCTGCGTCCAGCGTCCCATCCGCTAGGATGCTAACACGCGCTTGATGGCGCAGTTTGCAGGACCAACGCCGTTCCGACGTACAGAATCCTTGCATGTCAGAGTGCTGGCGCGGGTCCACGTGGGAGCTTTCCTCCGTCCAGCAGAGCTTTTTTTTTCCAGGAATATCACGAACACCTTAACGCTAAATCCTACAGCCTGAACCCCAAACTCAAAATCCTAAACCATTTGTCCTAACCCCAAACTCTGAAACCTGTAGACTGTGCAGGTGATCTTGTTTTAAAGAGGCACGCCCTTCCTCAGGTGCCCACCGGCTCAGGGAAGCATTGCCGCATGGCATGCCCCAGCCTGGGCATAGGGCTTACGGCTCGATGATTGGGAGTTTGGGATTTAGGGGTTCAGGGTTTAGGGTTTAGGGTTGGGAGTTTAGGGGTTCAGGGTTTACGGTTTAGGGTTGGGAGTTTAGGGGTTTAGGAAAATTTGGGGTTTAGGGTTGGGTCATAAGCTATAAGAGTTAAGACTTGGGGTTCTAGGTCTTGGGGTTTAGGGTTTACAGATTGGGGCTGGGAGTTTATGTATAGGGTTGAGGACCAGCATCATTGCACCCAATCAATCAGCTATGAAGAGATAACACTGTGTTGTATATGTTTCGACGATTCTGCAAAACATACATCTAATGCGATATGAAGCATGTACTTTACTTCAAGTGTCTGTAAGTGTATATATATATATATGTA